CAAATTACATAACACTGCTTGAAAAAGGTAACTAAAATTAACATTGACCAAATCATAGCTTACAATACTTAGATCCATCAATGTGGTACACATAATAATCTTTTATTACCGCTTTTAAATAATATTTCTTATGATATGTAAATCTGCATATGGGTACAATCTACTTCTATGACACAGCATTAACTATCAACACAACCTCACATGACCAGTAGCCAAAGTGTTAAAGGTGTTGATTTTTTATTGTTTCATTCTCATGCATGATAATTCTGACCGTACATATGTAATTATTTTGACCATAATATATATATATATATATATATATATATAAATTTTTTTCTCAAGAAAAACTGTTGCAAAAGAAAATTTTTTAGCAAATAAATTAAGAATGACTCACTTTAATCCTTCTAAATAAAATTAAAAATAAACATTAAATTTTTCCGGAAAATTTTGAAAGAGTTTTTACTAAACATAAAAATTAATCTGTAAATTAATTATCCACTGTTAAAAGTTTCAATTAGACTCATTAGAGGGTTAATTATTAAAACCTAAAAAAATAACAATTAATGAGCTCTGAATACATGTTTCATCCTTTCTGACCATTTGAGTGAAAAATTAAACTAATACACAAACATTTTTTTTTTGCAATAAACAAAACTTCATTCTCAAACAGTCAAAAATATACCCCCAACTACTCCAACATGAATGCACTGTTTAAGTACTAAAATTTATTATTTTTGTCCTAATTATTTTATAATTTTTGTTTAACAATATATATATAAAATATATATATATACATAAGGAATTTAAAAACCTAAAAAAGTCGCTTAAAAATTTGAAAGTAACCTACGCTTTCTGTTTTAAATTCCTTAACTATTTGAATTAATTTTTTAAAAATTTAGCAGCTCAAGGTGCTAATTTTAGTCTAATTTGTTCTTTCTTTCTTCCCCCCCCTTTTAAATTTTTTTTTTTTAAATATCACTTTTGACTGCTTAACTATATCTCTTCTTGAAATACAGTCAATACATGTGCAAAATTAGGAATTCGGTACTTTAAACTTCTGGCTTTAGACATGGCTGAGGGCTTGATGAAGCAGATAACAAAACTGAATTGAAGAATCACCATCTTTATTTTTACACATCTCAAATCATCTCTTTGGCTGACAAATTTACTTTTCAATCATATTTGAATACAATAACTTCTTATATACACAGATACAGGGATAGTACGTCATTTCAGCCAGAAAAGCATAAGCGGCATAGCAGTTGTTGCATAGTTGCTTGCATTGCAGAAGTCAGGAAGGGAAAAAGGGACGTAGTTCCTTGCAAAGCCATATTTATACTACGTAGATGCAGAAAGTATTCTAAGCTATGATTTGGTCAATGTTAGTTTTAGTTACCTTTTTCAAGCAGTGTTATGTAATTTGGAATGATCTCAAATTTGGGAGAACAGATGAATTTAGGGGCAGAGCACCAAATCTAGAATCATTAATTTTGAGATAGCCCATTATTTTTTAAAGCAGCTATACTATATTGTTACATCTTACATATATATATATATACATATACATTTATATATATATATATTAAGCCCTCAGCAGGCAGTTCAAATTTATTTAGCTGAATTGATTTAAACAATAAAAAATTTTTTAAATCAAGATATTCTGCACAACTTCAAAATGTTAGTTTTATTCTGAAAATAGCAATGAGTTCAACAATATTTGTAACAAAAACAAACAATTTTTATTTCATTTTAAAAAACTGAACATTTTATGTCATAGCAATGTATGTTGTTATTAATACAGCATAAAAAGTCACAAACGTGTTTATTATGAAAAGTAATTGAATGTGATAAAAATTGATGATCAGTAAAGGCATTTTTCAGTATGAAGAATACGTGAGAATAATCATTATTAAGGAATGTTCATTGCATACATAGATATGTGAAAAATTTAGAAGAAATTTTTGAAAAGAAATTATCATAATGACTGAAGAATAATATTTTAGTCTAAAACATGGAAATACTCAATTTGAGTGCAGTCTGTTGAGAATAAAAATACAATATTCTTTTAAACCAGTTTAAAAGATATCATTTAAGATTAACATCTACAAGAAGATAATTAATTTTTAAAGGACAGATTTATACATAAAAAATGCATTATATTACCATTTAAATGATTACACCTTTAAAAAAGGGCATTTTTATGGCTTTTAGTAACTAAATAATCAGTCTAATTAAGGCTTATTTCATTCCATGGAGAGTAAAAACAGGGTTGCCACTCAAACAGGAGAATGAAATTCCCTGACTTATCCAAGTGTGCTTTAAGAAAATTCCAGTCTATCCACGTAATGCACGTTGCTGTGCTAAGAGGTAAATCAATTATGGTATTACTTGAAAATACACAAATTTGCCAATTACATACGACTTATAATATATATATATATATAATTCTCAAAGCATTAATATTATAACTATAATAGTTGTTTTCTCCACTGAAGATTGAGATTAGAATCTGCCCAATCTGGATTAAAACAAGTCTATTTTTGCAGACATTTTGCAGCTAAACAAAAGAAATCTATTTAATGATATTTTTAAATAAATTCAGGTATGTTATAGTTCTTTAACAACATACATAAGAAAAAAAAATATGTGCATTAAATTTCGTGATATATGTCATCATACTGCTAGAATTAATTTCAGGATTATGCCAAAAAAATTTTATGAAATTTGAAAGTTTTATTTACTACTAATAAATAAATTTAGAGGGAAGAAGCAACATTAAATGATACAAATAACATAAAAATAAAGATAATTACTTAAAAATTGAATTAGAATAATCAATGATATTTTAGGGAATATAGTTATATTAAATGGTTAGCCTAGATGACTGATTACTATTTTTTTTTATTTTACTGCAAAATGACAAATAAGGCATTGATTAAAAAGAAAGAAAAAAAAAAAAAAAAAGGTTTAAAACATTTTGGGGTAAAATTTCTAGTATACGGTAAGGCCTTGGCATGATTTTGAAAATTGTCGCCAACACCAAAATGACCCGTTTTACTGCTCATCAAAATGTCGCCAAATCCCGTGTGTACCATACATGGATGTTAGAACAGAATACATGGAGGTTATTCTAACCAAAGAAACATCTATGTAAAGAAGGAAAGGTTCCATAGACGTAATGCTAATAAACCATTAGAAAGTGGAATAAAAATTCGCCAAGGAATTTGGAGACGGAACCTTATGGCCAGAAATTCCCTCTCCACGATGTGTATAGGAAATTGAGGAACTGTTGTTAAGAAGAAACATAACGTTTCTTTTTTTGATTTTTCACAATAATTTAAACACGGATTTTCGTAGGTTCCCCCCCTCAAAATAACTGATCCATTAATGAATTTACTTGCGAAAAAATATTTTCTTTTTCTTTAAAGTTTAAAGAAATTTTAAACGATATTCATTTTACTAACTCTTGATAAAGTGACCTTCGAACTCCGACACAGTCTTCGAGCTTTGCCGACAAATATTTTGGGTGCAGCTGTTTCCCTCTATGTTGGAATGGAGACACTCCTGTTGCAGAAAACTTTTTCTTTCTTAATAATACATATTCTTTGATTTTAACCTCCATGGTACCGTATACTAGGATTAAACCAATTTTGTTTTATAAGAGAATAAGTACTTTGTTTAGTTCAACATGCATTGCACATGGGTAAGCAGCTTGTTTTGCCTTTCTAAAAGACAATCTAATTGGAGCTGCAAAAATTGGCTCTATGCCAGCTGCCCAAATGACACTTACGCGATAGACAATCCGCCAAGAAAGTGATCACTTCCAACATCGGCGCAAAACTCTCTTTTTTGAGGGCGGGATCGCCATATGAAATTCCCCGACTTTTCCAGATTTTGACTAAAATATTTAAATTCCCTGAATTTTTTGGTCAATTTTCGAATTCCTTGACTTTTTCTAGTTTTCCAGGTAGCGTGGCAACTCTGTGAAAATTGCCCCCCCCCTCAAATTTCTCTTTTGTTAAGCAGCATAAAAATAGAATGAGAAATATTAATAACAATAAAGTACTGTTTCAAAATCATCCAAAAACATATTTTAATAAATTTATAATTATTCAGTAATAATTAAAAATTATACAAGACAATACTTGTTATATTACAAAATTAAGTTAATTACCATTTTCATTATTCATAGATATTCAATGAAGTACATTAGTGATATAAAATTCTCTAGGCAAATTAAATATAAACTTAATGATTCACTAAATAACTACACATTTGTTTAATTTTAAAATGATTATTTACTAATAACTTTTAAAAACTGATTACAGTATCTACTCGCATATTTTTCTCCTTAGTTTTTTTCAGTATACAACTTGGAAACTTTGGAGTTATTGTTATGGTAACAATGCAAAATGTATGCATAAATTCGAAATAATTTTGTGCAAGTAGAAAAAATATTGAAATTGATAAATACTTTGAAATACATACTCTAACAATATCAGTGCCTTTATGCATACTTTTTAATGTGCTAAGTTTATAGTTTAATCTATTTCTTTACAAATAGTATATGGTACATGCTTTTCCCCTTGTGTTTTACAAGTGATAAAATTAGAGGAAAAGGGAAGATACATGAGTAAATATGGTATATTAAATATGCCACATTTTTCTCAGTTTCTACTCTTCATATGATTCATTTTAATTAGATCATCAATAGTCCAAACATTTTCAAATATAACATGTGTTATATTACATTTGTTAGAATTTTCCATGTTTACTATTGATAACATACTAATTAAAAAAATAAACTTTGTCACATTCATTATTGTATCATATAAAGCACATTAAACCATATCAAGAATATGCAAGTTGCATTGAAATACAAACATTACAAATAAATATTTTTTTTTTTTTTAAAATTATGTTCTGAATAGAAGAAGAAAATATTTGAAAATGCCATGCACTCTGGTCTTACTGTATAAATAAATGACAAGAAAATTAAATCAATCTGCTTTTATGAGTTTTAATAACAAAAAAGTGTGTTCAACATAAATAAGAATACAGACTACTTCATATACTAAAACACTAGACAGATCTGGAATGAGATTATCATTTTAGAAAAGGAATTTTTCATAGACGATCATATATAGCAATAATGTTTACTTAAGCAACACAATTTTTTGCAGAAAACCACTGTCAGAGATTTCAAATGTGATTTTATAAATATTGCATTCACACGTTTAAAATTATAACAAATCTCAAGATAAAATAATATAGTAATTACCTTTTTACATACTATACTCGCATTAGAAAAACAGATTAAAACCCACAAATGATTTCTAGCAACAATAAAATATATTTTGCTTAGTACAGTTTGAAGACATGTAGACAATATGCAAGTATTCAAATAACATTACTTCATAACTTTATAAAATAAAAAAACATAACTAATATGTCTAACTATAATGCCTAAAATTTAACATCATGAAACATACAGATGTTAAGTTTCCCTTGATTAATTTTTTTTTAATACAAATTACAATAATCAAAACACAACACATTATTTGGAAAAGTAATTTTCTAAGCAATATAACATTCAGTTTCCACATCAAGTTTTAATCCTCAATTTCATAAATTAAATCTATTATGCACATGCTGTATTATTATTATGCTCCCAAAGGCAACAATTAGAAAAGTTTGGCATCATATACTCTTCTTGATAAGTTGATTCAGAATAATGTCAAAAAGATACATTATCCTTAATTTGGACATTTTAAATGGCTCAAATATGAAATGCACAGTAAGAACCTGCAAATTGCATTAGTTGTAGACACACTTATATGGATCAAAGAACATGGTTATGCATAAAAATATTTGGAATATCGGAATAATTAAAAAACAAAAAATTATCATTCTGCAATGTACCTGTATTTAATATCTTAAGGGGGGAATGTTATTTTCATTATACTTCATTTCCATTCCTTGATTTACATTTGGGGGGGGGAACAATAAATATCATTACGTCTCTATTTTAATGACGCCCAGCATAACAATCTCACATGACAAGACAATACTGGTTCATTAAAAGAAAGTTGTTCAAGCCATGGAATACAAAAATACCTAAAATTGTAACACAGCAAGAGACTATAAAATGAAAGTTTTGTAAACTTAAGATCAGATCTTGAATTTTTCATAATTGAATAAAACTGTAAATGCATATATGAAGAAATACACATATAAATTTTGAATACTCAAAATGTTAGAATGCATAATGAAAGAATCTTAGTATGCCTAAACCAAAAGGACATATGATAATAAAAATGCATTAATATTATTAATTCTGCTAGGCAAACTGTTTAAAATAGTGGAATGTTAAAATACTTGAACAGGTTTCACAGGCTAAAAAATTGAACAGGCTATAAAAATTTGCAATATGAATAGATGAAAGAAAAATAATTGCTTAATATAATTCATGTTGAAACAACTGAAGAATTTCCACCCCTTTCTGTGTGCCAAGAATGGAAAATATTTCATTTTAAAATTCCATAACATCAATTTTGCGCCTGCCTCCTGGATGCTGCGTCCGGGGGCAGATGCCCCCCTTGCCCCACCCTAGCTACACCACTGGGTGAAAGAGGTATAAAGGATATCAGAAAATAATTATTATGGTACATGACCAAACAGAGCAAGCTATAAATATGGATATGTTTTAAATTTATGAAGCACATCCAAAAAGTAAACCTGGACTGTCATGAAATCTATTAATACTTGAAATAATTAAGTAACACACGTTTTGAAGTCACTGTGCAATTGTAATCACCCAATAATCAATCACTAGCTAAACTGCTATTTTAATATTATGACTAGCTTTAAAAAGCATACAAAAGCACAATACAAAAGCATGTATATTATGACTAGTTTTAAAAAGCGTACAAAAGAAGTTTCCCTAAACTTCACACCTTGTTTCAAACTAAATACAAACACAGATAATATATACTCACAGAAGAGCCTTATCAAAATTCATATAATTTAAGAAAAAAAAAAAGTATAATGAAATATTAGTGTAAAATAATCTATTATCCTTAAGAATAAAGCAACTTTAAAATACTCATTAAAGATATTAAATTTATTACTGCGGTGGAATTTTTTAACTCATAGTATGATCACACCTTACATTTACCTCATTACCACAAATGCAGCTAAAAACCAATAACAAGATATCATTCTTTTCTATAAAGCTACAGTCCTACCAAATTAAGATCAAGTGAAATTCACAGTCAAAAGAGTTCAGAAAAAAGGAAAAGTGCATGTCAGAGTACTGCGTACACCCTGCATCAAAAGTGTTCATCCCTGATGTGTTCAACTTGAAAGCATATGCAACTTTGGAGGATACACAAGACAAGCAACTGATCTTATGTTAAAATCTCTTGACATACATGACTTAATATGTATGGTAACTATGTTTATGAAATACAGTTGGGAATCTATACAATTATTTAATTATTTTAGAAAGAAATAACATATTTTTCACAGCTTTTATTTATTATTTCACAGCTTATGTATACCTCCTTCAAGATAACATCTCTGATTTTTACTTAAAGGGAATGCAGTGATTTTCAAATAAAATAGGATTCCACAACATTATGTTGACATAATGAATTTGATCAACATTTGTTTAATTGAAAGTGGCACAGCAGAAGAGATAAAAACGGAAAATTTACTTAATTTAGCACTTATAAAAACATTGTGCATATTCAGCTAATCATTACAGAAATGATAAATTAGCTATTATGCAGTCACTGCTCATTTTAATAAAATGTTCTTTATAAGTACTAGTATAAAAATCATCTAATAATGAAGGTACATTGAATTCATTTTTGTTACATGAACGTCCTTTTATAACATTTCCCCCCTTTAGGATATGAGCTATTATAATGAGTGTCAACTATACTACCCAAATAGTAACATATTCCACAATAAACTTTCAAATTAGATAGCATTCCACAACATTTTAGAGGAACAAAAGAATTTCCAAACATTTGTTTGTCTGGAAGCTGGCATAGGCATGGAAGTATTAAATATGAAAGCAAGAAATTTATCCAGTTTGACACATTTATAAAGTTATCAGCTTATCATTATCAGAACATTTTGCATAGTATGTAATCAAATACCTTAGATCTAGGTAAATATATTGAAATGCATGTACTACATAAAAAAATATATTTTTGAACCAGGACATTAGGATTTTTTACACAGAGAGAGACGGAACTCCTTATACCTTCTCCTGCAACCTCTCTCAACAGATCTTCTTAATAGATCACTTTTTACTGGCAATAGCTCCACAAGTTGCTGAGCGGTTAAGGCAACTGAACACAGGAAGTTTGATTCCAAGCAAACAAGATTGGCTACATGACTGATTTCGGTATTTTCGTCATGTGTAACAAAGCCCACCAACGGCCCAGCAGTAAAGTCGCTGAACACTGTAGTTCAGTTTGTGGTTTGAATCACATGAACAGGAAGGCTGCATGGATATTTTGTGGTTTTTCCCATGTGTAACGTGTATATGAGACAGTTTCCCATAGAAAGTTCTCCACAAAAACAACCCTTCCCTTAGGCAGATAGCTCTCAAGTGCTTTGCCATAATCAAATAAACCAAACCCCATATTTAACATGAATGCCAGCCAGCTTCCCTTAGAATGCCCTCCAGTAAGGCATCTCTCTCTCTGCAGGCTCAAGTGTTTTATGATGTTCAAATAACCTAACATCTTATTTGAAACATTGAAAAAAAAAAAAAAAAAAATACTCAAATTCTTTGTATATAAATAAACTTCAAATAACAGGTTAAGGATACAGTATATAAACAATTTAAACAGGTATGATCTCGGGCTTTGAGATTATCTGGCAATCCTATTCATCCAAACTTATGCCAATCATTCCAGCAAATAAAAGTCCTTAACTGCATTTAAACATCTTATTTGCAACAATGCAAGAACTACTCAAACTCTTTGCACATAAATAGACTTCACTCTAAATGGTGCGTCTGAAAACCAATATCAATGAATGAAAATATGAAAAATTATTTTGTAAATGCTTTAATTTATTTAATTTATTTATTTTAAAATGCTTTAATATGCAAATCTGCATATTAAAGCACAACATAATTTTATCTTGCACTTGAAGTAGAAACTTTTATTCATGTTATAGCATAAAATAAATAATTACAAGTCAATATACCTTAAAAAAATTATTCGTTAATCTCACGCGACATAATAACAAAAACACAACCGGGAGCTATAAAAATCAGGAACCTACAATCAGTGTTACAGTGAAAAATTTCAGATCTAATACTAAGCCTTAATTTATTAAATATGATACAAAGGGTTAAGTCTCCAAGGGTTCAAATATGAATTTAAACCTACAAAAAACATGCTACAATTGGGATAAGCTTTTCTTTAGATAAAACACAATAAGAAAAATTTACTTGTTACTAATTCAGTAATTTTTGTAGGTGGTTTTACAAAAAAGGAAGATAAGGCACTGACAAGCAATGTTTTTAACTCGGTGCTTTAGCAAGATAACGTTTTCAGAAAAACTTAATTCAGGAAATTTTTCACTTGCTTTAACTGCTTCAATGAAACACATATGACAGTAGAGTGAAAATGAAATGGCTATCCTAAGTACAAGTTTGAACCATGTAAAGTTTATTGTCTTTGATTTTGGAATAACAGTAACAAAATACTATGAATATATTCAATGAATCGACAAATCCTATTATACTCTATTATACTAACTGTGAGTTTGAGCTTGGTAAAAGCAAAGATGTTATTTATCTATATGTTTTGTGAAAATTGTGAAGTCTGTTAGCTAAAATATCATGACATAATGGTTACTTTTGAAAGTTCAAAATGAATGTTATCGAATACTGATTGTAAATCATAACACTAAGGTTTACAAAAATATCTTAGAAAAATCGGTACTTACATATTTTCCTACTGATCATAAAGGTTATCGAAGATTCATTTAAACTTGTGCCAATCATACCAGCAAATGTTTGATTTACACTCTTTATTTAAACAGATAAGTTTATAAATGTTATCTACATAAATAAGAAAATTAGACATTAACATGTTCTTTATTCAGTTAGAAAAATCAATAATTAGGTAACGGGTTAAGGATATAGTATATAAAAAATTTAAACAGATATGATCTCGGGTTTTGAGATCATTTGACAATCATATTCATCGAAACTTATGCCAATCATTCCAGCAAATAAAAGTCCCTAATTGCATTTAAACAATAGTAACGAATTAGTCACTTTCTTTGTGAACTGAAGGCTACTTAAATACAAATGTATGAGGTGCCCTAAAGTTGCCCAATGTTTTTTTAAGACATTTTTCCCGAATCCCACAGCCTTTCAAAGCTTTCAACATGAGTACAAGCATAACTTTGGTAATATTGCACTCCTTACTGTTGATCGAAAACAATCAACAGGAAAATACTTAAGCACCAACAAAAATACCAAAAATTCAAAGCTCTTATAAATGAATAAGTTCTATGTTCTAAGTTCTTTCTAGAATATTCTATGTTCTTAGTTTTATGAGATTAGTGTGGCTTCTTTATGAAGATGATAATGACCATGTAAAAAAAAAAAAAAAAAACCACCTACACATGAAAGAAGCATCAAAAAACTTGTTAGATCTATAAAGCACACTATAAATTTTTACAGATGAAATAATCATCTTTGTTTTAAGGCCAAATCAAATCACTCAACTTCAGTGATAAACTTCATAAAAATTCTTGTGGAAGACCGTAAGCCCATGCTATCAGTAACATTTCAAATTCATGGAAAGCTTTTTGAAAGAGTAATGACTGTTACTGAAGGAAAAAATACTTCAACTCTAAATATATTTCCCAATATAGTTTTTTTTTTTTTTTTTTTTTTTTTTTTTTTATAGCAAACATTAATTTAAAACATTTTACTGAATGTATGAAATTGTTTTATCAACTGAAACTGGAAATTTTTAATCAGACTTATACTACAACAGTTTGAATTAACCCTCTGAGGGTCGTGACTGCATTTATCTGGTCATGAGATTTTTTGTCACATGGTATATACAGTACAAAGTCCGTAATCCGGATTCGTCGAGACTTCGATTCTGGATTAGGGGTTTTTCCGGATTATAGATCATCAATTTAAATCTGGTAAGATGGCATGCAGATATTATACAATTAAAAATATGAAACCATAATTTATGAAATAAAGAGCAATTATGATCTAAAAGGTATAAAAATTTACAAAAAAAAAAAAAGCTTAATATTTATTTGTTTACTTTAGTAAACATTTCTATCAATGTAAGTAGTTTAAGTTGCTTCGTTTTTTGTGCTAATACTTCCTCTTTAATTCTATAAACAGACATAATTTCTTGTTCAGTTACAAAGTTCCACTGTTCAAGTCTCCTTAATTGCTGTGTCGAGAATACCGAGTAATTTGTGAATCGAAATTTTTTCGTTTTCAATAACGTTCTCTGTTACTTTCTTCACTATCGGAAGAGCGCATGGTAAGCTTTACGCGCATGCATAAGTTTGTGGCTTTGAGGTCCGGATTATAGATCATTCTGGATAATGGACGTTCGGATTAGAGACTTTGTACTGTGTTAGATTATAATTTAAAATATTTTGCCTTCTTACTTTCTTTAATAATGTAAAAATTATCTTAATGAATTGAAATTTATGAAAACAGAAGCTGTTTAAGGACAAGTCTTCATAAGCAGATCAAAAAAGCAGTGCCATTCTAAGGGTTAAAACACGTTATATACCAAATATTACAGTATAAATATTGAACATGACTTGAAAAAATGCAAATAAAATTATTCTGAATTTTTTTTAAATACATCTTTAGGAATATTTGTTTTTTTAATAAAGTACATTTATGAATGCTGTTTATGAAATGGTTTGACTACAGTGTTAAACTAAAATAAACTGCAAACCTATTATATGAAAGTTAGCACAACAAACAAGATTATTATAGCAAATCTATGATAATCTAAATTCATTATTAACATTATTTGTTTTACATCATGCATTGGAAAGAAGATGCAACTATAATTACTGCCTATTTTAGAATGATCACACAAAATTAGTGTTGTTTCCTTTATTAATTTAAAAGCTAAAAAATATCAATAAATTTTGAATTTATATTTGTTTTTACTTTGAAGGCAGAAAATTATAAAAGATTGCCCTAATTTATTTAATAATTCAAAGCATTAGAAATGAAATGAAGTAAAATAAAGTTGGCTTCATTTCTTAATTCATATTGCACGTAGCCACATTTATCCTGAGATGAAACTGAAAAAGGGACTAGACTTCTGGATTATTTTTAGATCACAAATACTATCTATTACTGCATTTTTTCCACTTCATAAGGCAGAAATTACTAAATGCTGGTTTTATATATTATAATCTAAAGCTAACTAGCACATGTATAGCTTATCAGTTTTGATGAATGATACGCCTTTTTATCAATACAGTTAACTGTAGTGCGATAATGGTAAATTTATTAGACTTTGTAGTTATTCATCTAACAACAATTATAAACTTCATACAAGTACAAAATTGTCTTGTACAAGACAATTTTAGTATTTACAGGTTAAATGATAGCATTTACTATTAAAATACCTAATGTTCAACATGGAAATGAAAATAATTATTATGAGTAGTAGTAATTACAAGTATATATTATCATATTTTGTGTTTTTGGTGACAGCCATCTTGTTTTTTTCCTGCATTCCATTGCTGCTCATAATTAGTTTCTTTTTTAACCCTCTGCTTACAACTAAATTTTTATACTTTCCAGTTTGGAAATATGGGAATATATTTTCCATCTACATTTATTACTATTGATATCTTTAGCAATGCATTTTTATTTTAAAGAAATAACTTTTATTTTAAAGAATACAAGAATTTTAAATGTTTCTTGGGGTTTCAAATTACAGATAATAAGGTGTACACGATTTCAGAGGCATAATTAGCAAGTTAAAAATATACACGATACTTTTAATTTTAGATTTGGATAAACAAATTTTGGATTTTTTTATAAATGGAAGAAAAAATAAATTTTGCTTTATATTAAATTATATACATACCAAAAAGAGAAATATTTAGAATAACAAAAAGTTTTAGTTATTCATAAATATTACAAATTGTTCATATTTATCTTAGAAATAATTTACTCACTTATTATTACTATACAGAACTTTTTGCATGTGAAAAACTTTGAACCTTGGCTCGATCCAACTTGACATTTTCAATACCAAATGTAAGTCTCTTTGCATATTTTATTTCCATTTTTATTTTTCTTGAAGAAACATACACCACACATTTTTAGACTAATTTTCTCATGGATATAGCTGGCAAAATGTCTTTCTACAAGGTGAATACAGCCCATGCTAGCATTACTAGAATATTTTAATGAGTAAATTTGAAGCCTTTAATGCTCAAGAATGAAATGGATCTTGCACAGCCATTTAGAATCAAAATAATCAATGCTAGAACATTTTTACCCTGCATAAGAAGGATCAGGATCCACGCTAAAAATCAATGGGAAAAAATCTTTGTGATTTTTAAGTAAACCATAGTAGCAGACAAACTTGATAACCCTGCTCAAATTCTGGGAGCTGTATGCAGAGGATTAATTTGATACGCACTTCTACGATTTGCAAGTTATTATTATAATATGATGTTATAAATATCAGATTTCAGTTTTTATAAAAGATACAATGATAGTCATAATATCTATTTATAAGTGTTAATAGCAGGAATTCTTGTCAGTTAACTCGTAAATATCCAATTTTTATCATAGTACAATATTTATATTTTCTAGCAGGATAAAGCATAACAGAGAGATTTGTCTAGATTTCTGCAAATACTTGATCTATAGTATTAATGAATAATGTATGATGAAAGAAAAAATATTTTTCTTCTCATACAAATAGCACTAAACATGTAAATTCACACAAGGATTTAATTTTAATGTCTAAAAAAAAAAAAAAGAGGAGGGAAAAAATCTTTTTTCTAATACTTCATAAAATTTTTAATAAAATATTTTTTTTTTTTTCCTGATGAATAGAGAGTGATAGCCTGCCTCAAAATGCATAGTATTACCGAAAATAATCTGACAATTAGTTTGAACTTCACAATCTGTTAGAGTTCATGAGATGTAGAAATTAAAATGTCTTTCTTTCAGTTAGCTTCAGAGAAATCTAAGTCAAATAATATAGTTTAATTTTTTCCCTTGCTTTGAATTGAATTGACTATTTTAAAAATGGAGTATTGTACTATCAAATAATAATGATTTGCATTAAAAATTTATAAGCAAGTTTGGTAATTAAAGTTATACCAGACGCTTCACACATTTACAGATGCTAACATTTTGTTTAGCTTTAGTTTAAATTTAACTTTTTTTTTTTTTTAAATTTCTAATGATGTTATTCTTTTATTATTTTGTTGTGTCAGTTCTAGCTATGTTAAACAAAATTAGCAACATAAAAAAATCAAATATTTGGCACAAATAACAAATAAAATATTACACATAAAGAAGTTTCGCGAACAATTTCTGGTTAAAGAAGCAAAGGTGTTCAAGTTCAGGGTAGACTTCACATATTTTGAGCATTCATACATTCACATCATGCCAAATTGAAGTTACCTGTGAAAAAGAGCCAGAATTTTCAATGTTTCTTCATAATACAAAAAGTGACTTCCTGTAGTGCATGCAGCTTTTAATACACTAGGCCACAGGCCTTTGTATAAGCCAATAAATCCTTCTTCTCTGAGAATACAAGAGGCACAATGTAACACACCAGTATATCGACGAACAGCTCCAAATGCTTTCCTAGCTTCTTCAAATCCCTGTACTTGAAACCTCTTCTTTATTAAATCCAGAGGGTAAACAAGTACTTTTGCAGCTATACCAGACGCTGCACCACAGCAACTGCTCTGAACAGCAGCTAGAATATAATGTGGGACAAAAAGTTAATTCCATTTTCTTACAAACATTTACAAAATAAATACTTAAATAATTTACAGTTCTGCTTTATTTCTTTCTGTGACTTGACATAAGCTCAAGGCAAAATTCAGACAGGGTGTGGCACATAAAACTGGCCCATTCCTTCATGAGACATCAATAGATGAACATAATCAATGATTAAACAAAGTCAACAAATAAAATGAAATGCAATGTTTTGAATATGAACAACAATATAAATATGAATATATTTTTAACAAGAATTTAACAATCGGATATGGCAGTTATCGGATATGGCATTATCACACAGTCACCTGGCTTCACAAAACGAGACCTACTTCTCAACTTGTTAGGACAGGTTTCACTGGCTGCGTATGCATTACACATGCACCTGCAAGTCACACATCACAATCCCTTAATAGGAAGCCGAAAATAATTTAATTGTTGCCAAAAACACAATATACCATGATATTACAACGAGCTGGTTTTACGTGCCTCACCCTGTATAACTCTAGTGAGTGATTATGATGATGTTATTACTTACTTTCATATACCTAAAAACAATGCTTTAATTTAATATTAATCTACCATCCTCAAAGATATATTACACCTTCAGTTTCAACTTTACAACAGAAATTAATTAATTGAACATTTTACTACATAATTTCTATTCTCACAGCTAAAAGAAAATTTTTATAATTTATAATGCAATCTTATTTAATTAAACTCTCCTGGTATGAGAAATGAAACTGTAGTAGAAGCTTAATCCTTTGTCATTTTTTCTCTTTGAATTTCTAAAATCTTTCACCTACTGATACACCCCAATTAATGAAATGATTTCTAACAAAAATGCAAAGAGTAAGTGCTAAAAAATCTAAATTCAAAATAGATCATATGGCCAAATAAAAGTTATTGTATTTAGAATAAAAGACAAATATACTATTTTAAAAATGGAGTATTGTACTATCAAATAATAATGATTTGCATTAAAAATTTATAAGCAAGTTTGGTAATTAAAGTTATACCAGACGCTTCACACATTTACAGATGCTAACATTTTGTTTAGCTTTAGTTTAAATTTAACTTTTTTTTTTTTTTAAATTTCTAATGATGTTATTCTTTTATTATTTTCAGCATGTCTTCCACCTTTTCTTTAAATACTTAACAAAACTTACTTTTTAAAATTTGCTTAAATGAATGAACTTATTTTTCAGATTAAGCTACTTAAAATATAGTTGAAAATTATTGATAACATTTTAATGTTTGTTATACTATGGGTTACTCCTCTTTTTTGTAGTTCGTTGACTGCCCTGGATTAACCACTAATATGAGTTAATTATAGACAACATTTTCAGTACTATCCTGGCTAACTGGAAATTGATTTTATATGTATATGTAACTCATGCAGTAATAGCAGAGAATATATATAATTTGTGGCATGTAAATTAATGTTTGTTTAACACTTCAACTAACAAGACAGAAAGATGTCAGATCCCTCATAAATTTGTTTGAAAAAACTTCAGATCCCTCATAAATTTGTTTGAAAAAACTATCTTCCAAACAGACTATTCAAATTATATGCCAGGAATGAAATATCATAATGACTTTAATTTATATTTACTAAACAAATGAATGATTAGATTAAATGATTACACTTTTGCCATTTCAAACCTAACATTAAGTAAAAGAAAAATATTTTTAATTATAAAAAATTAAAAAAGTGGTACTTTCTGATCGAGTGCACCTCCATCAAAAAATTGAATAAAAGTATTCACGAGTCAGTTACTATTAGGCAACCCACAATGTCGGCATATAGCAACTCAGATATGTGCATAGTATGTCTCTCTTGGCCTCTGCAAAATGCCAAATATGTGCAACTGTCTGATGTTAAGCAAAAACAGATCACTGTATATATAGTAAGAACAGAGCAAAAAAGAATTTCTTGAAAAAGGTAAAGTGTTTTTTTACTACATTTTTTTGCTTTTTAAATTTTATTGATTGACTGCTCTTTTATAGAATTCTTAATGCACTGCCATTTTGAAAATAGCTGATGTCTTTCATGCATGAGCTTGGCAAAAAATTACTCACGAACAAGTTGTCAACTTTTCAGTAAGAAGTGCAGATAATTAAAATGCACCAAAAATTATTACTTCATGAAAATTTCATGAAGGGACCAAAAAAAAAAAAAAAAATGGTGGTGGTTTCTTTGTTGCAAGAAAATTTTTTTAAATAAATGTACACAGGAAAACAATTTTTTTTATTGACTTATCTTTAAATTATGAATGCCAAATCACAGTTAATCGACATTGTCTAAGTTCAAAAAGGTCATTTATTTACTTTTCATATTCTGGCATAGTTGCTGCATCACTGCATATTTTAGTTCCATATATAATTTGACCAAATAACAATACCCTTAAAATCTTTAACATTTGACTGCATTCAGTCCCTTCAAGAGCATGTGCATAGTGATTTACCCATTTTGTTCATTTTCTCAAGATCAATTACTCTGAAAAACTACATTAGTATTTTACTAACAAAAAATTGTTTTTTAATTCTGCTTTAGCCTTTTAGATCTGAAAAGTACATAAAACATGCAAAACCTCAAATGGCATTTTATTCTTTCATGAATCAAAATTTTAATATTTACTTGTCTGAGATGAGCCTTTCTGGAAAACAAAATCCCACAACCCTTGAAAAAATTTATAAAATGCGAACTGTGCTCCAGCATTTGGCATTATCTGGATCAATGTTGGAGACAGGCCTTTGTAAAAACTGAGAAGACCTTCTGTACGAATCATGACTGTAGCAGCATGGAACATATTCTTGTAAGTCTGAAAACAAGTACATTATATCAGAAAGACTTTTCATCCTCAGCAGAATAAAATCCCGACTGAATATTTTATAATTTCTGTTTATAAGCAATAATTTTGAGAGAATTCAGAGCACTGATTTTCAAAGTAAAAATTCAATTCTTAATAAGAGTATTTATTGTTTAAATGAGATTCTATTGAAAGAAATGCTCAGTTCTATACACAGTAGTCATAAAAAAGTATCATACATGAATTAATATAACTTATAATAGAATTGATAACAGTGATTTATAAAGAGAGGGACAGAGGGGAAAAAAGGTATTTATCAAAATTTTATAGCATACAATTATTGCAAATGTTTATTCAGTATCAAACATAATACGAAAATAATCTGGCAAGCAGATTAATTCAATATTATTTACTTTCATAATGTTTTAATGAACTAATCTCTTTTAAGATTTTGTTTTAAAACATTAAGAAATTAATAAATAAATAATATACATTATCTTAACTTTCACACATTCAACTTCAACAATGAAAACCATTATAAGCACTCAATTCAATGACAATGAAATAATTTTATATGAGGTTTTTTTTTTCCTTACCAACAAATTTCTTATGATACCATAAGTTTTTAAAAGTTTTATTAGTAAGAATTAAAGAATTTCATATATGTCTTCTTTTGCAGCTTATTTATAAGAATAATGATATGCAATAAGCCTAGCACATTTGACAGTAAAAGTGCCAGCTGGCAAATCTAAAAAACACGAGGCAAATTACGAGGTTCTTTATTTATGGCAAATCTAAAAAACACGAGGCAAATTATGAGGTTCTTTATTTATGGCAAAGCTTGATGTGAGGTATTTATTACAACCTCATGATTATTAAGCATAACTTGTTAAAAGACCCTGCCTTATGTTAACATCATAAGGAAAATACCAAAAGCATAATAAAACTAGTTATTCCCACCAGAATCAAACATTGGATAAAATTGCCAGAACCTAATATCCTTCTGTCACTAGTGCATGACATGCAAAGACATTTTTGCTTTGAGAGATTGAAAGTTAAACCTTAAGTTGAACTAACTCAAGTATAATCAGAATTAGTTTCTATTCTGCCAATTAAAGAATATTAATCTCTTTAGTTTTCAACTCATTTTCTTTCAGAGGTAAGAAGAGAACATAGACACCTAATGCAATTTGGATTTGTGCCAAATGAAACAATGTGAATGATATATTTTAAATAAAAATAGGATAAAAAAATATTTGACAGTAATTCCATTCTGCAGGTGATTTCATTCAGATGTTCTTTCTTAAAAAATAGATTTTTTATTTATATTAAATAATACTTTTGTCAATATTTTATTGTTTAACTAATCATTTAAATTTTTATATTTCATGTAACAAATATGCATATAAATAATACTCTTTTTTTTAATAGTATTTATCTCACACATTTAAATTTCAGACAAAAAAGGGATACATAGTAATTATACATTTTTTTGAGGGATCCATAACTCAAGAGAAGTTAACATTTCCTGATAATCTATATTCATCATGCTTGTATGCACTATATAAATAGAAGAGTTGCTACATTGCAAATCAGTTACATCTATACAGCTGACTAATCACAGAGTGGCCACAAATATGAAGCACTGCTAGCTCTGCAGTTTTATTCCCGGGAGTAGAAATGCATGTTTCCCTAATGAATAATATAAATATTCCTAAAAACGTCTAAGGACAACCATCTGCTCTGCATAGATAAAATACCTCACACAGCTTTGACACATTAAAAAAATTAAACCAATTTTATAAAAAGTAAAAAAATTCGAAAGGGTTCAGATTTTAAATTACGTCCAAGGGTGCTTTTTTAACGTTTTGTGCATTACCTTTATTTATTAAATATCATGTTCTACGTAATCAAACCATAAAATTCAGTTCAACAGCAATATCGCAAAATAATTTTAAAATGAGCATATTTTTAGAATTTCCGATACACAGTCTTATGCGCCGTTCTTTTTGCTCGCTTTGAAATAATTTAGTTTGTTAATCAAAAATTCGTTGAAGTATTACAAACATGAAATCAATAATAAAACAAATTTCAGATTACAAATTAGGGCTTCAACATGCCCATATTCTATGAAAGATTATGTTATTCAAATTTTGATGGCTCTAGGTACTGTCGTTTTATCACAATGCAAGAAACATACATTCATGCAGATTCTTCATTATTTAATTTCTTTAAATATAATACAGGGCTCTAATATTTGGTGGCCACAACTTGAAAAGTGAATCGGACAATTATAGTGAACCTATGCAAAATGCCAAAATGAAATTAATAGTCCTTCAGGACAAATTGTGCCCCTTTGGACTAATAATGTCTATGCCAATCACAGAATTTTTTTCAAAAGCTCTCAGGTAGGTCAATCTCAAGATTAAGAGACTGGCATACAAAAAAAGTACATTTTTTAAAATCAAACTGTGATTTACTACTGAACAGTTTTAGTCCCAAAGCATTCAATAGAAAATACGAACCAAAACTAATAATTTTCCAAGATGAAAATTAATAATAGATCCACCAATGCAATAACAGGGTATGAAACAAACACATTTTATTGTTTATACGTCAGTATGAAAAACATTTTCACTGAAATCTATTAGTCATAGCCGTAATAATGACCTTAGTTATGTGCAGTAACTTAAAAAAAAAAAAAAAAAAAAAAAATCATATCTTTTAAATTCAGATTCAGCATTTCTGTTTTTTTTTCCATGCTTTTGACTTATAAATATATTATTATTGAATAACAATCAATCATTTAACTAATGTTCAATCATGTCAGGCAATGTTGTAGATAGTACCTTCTATATAGAAATAAGTAGTTATAATATATTGCAAAATATTAACAATATTTTTTAGAGAATAGGAAGTATATGGAGGAAAAAATTTTAAATGTTGCTGCTAAAGAGAAAATATATTACTTGCAGACAAATTTGCAGAAGACAAATATGCAACAATCTTATTATATATGATAGTTTTTATTCCATCTGAACAGTGCTAGTGGAAAATTAATAAGACTGCATTGTTAGTAAGAATGTCTATCATATTTTATGCACATAAATGGTTTAAAAAAGTGTTAAGTGCAATATGACACTAGATTTAGCATGGCATATTAATTCTTTACTTGAATTACTTCCTCACTTATTATTAAGTAATTATAAACAACCATTTTTTGTTTAGCAACCAGATGTAGGTTACTATTGTTGCCATTGTCAGTTAAAGCACAATTTATATTTGCCAAATAACTATTTCTATATATAAATACACTATAAACTATACAGGAAGTCTATAATTAAAAAACCCTATTTCGAAGCTGCCTACAAGCGAAACCAGTGATCAGAAAAGTGACATTTTGTGACATCTGATGCTTGCTGTGTTAAGACTTCAAATGCAAAGAACTAAAAATATACTTACTTATATATATCTGACGTTGTATAATTAATGAAAAGATGAGAATGTCTTTCAATGAAAACAAAATTAGTTACAAATAGTGTCACCACAGGAACCGGACTTGAGAGTCAAAATCATGTGGAAGCAACTGCTGCACTAGTGAATATTTGTAAGGATAACATCGGAAGATATTCCACAAGAACTTATGGAGAGTTGAACATGGTCAATCTAGCATCTCTGCTATAGGCTAGACACTGGTGCCAGCCTGAAGGTTTTCTTCCATTTCTAGGACAAACAGAAAACAATCCTGCTTCTTCAAATTCTGTTATCATTTTCCAAAGGATTTTAACATTTATTTGACCTCTTAGAATCCCCTTCAAAGTCTGAAATTTCCGTAAAGCAGCTATTGTGGAATTGCTGTTTTGGTAAAACAATTTTACTACAAAGCCGATCTGGTACACTTATCACCACTGAGGACAACAAGCACATTAAAACCAAAGTCTCCACTAATGTTTCCAGGTTTTACAACAGCTGCTGCATGACATCGACAAAGATTTACATTTTTACTACAGGCTTTCAAAGTAAAATGCCCTCTGGTGACATTATTTGTAATTAATTTTTTTTTTTTTTTTTTTTTTTTTTTCCCACTGACAGACATTCTCATCCCTTCCTTAAGTCCACTACAAAGTTTCACAACTTTCTGATTATTGGTTTCTCCTGTAGGAGGGCTTGGAGGCTTTGAAATACAGTTTTTTTAATTATAAACACCCTGTACATAACATTTATTAATTAAAAAAAACTGCTATCAAGTGTTGAAACTTGGACATTCTCTAGTCCTGAAAAAAAATCAGTAATGATTTTCTTGGAAGGGATGTAGGCAGAAAAAGATCAGTCATGAAATGTATTATAGAGTAATAAGTTGAAATCCTTGATTATGGAAACATGAACGCAGAACAATAGCTTTAGACACTAGCATACAAAACTCTTGCAGTCATGCAAAGTAACCACAAGAAGAAATTCTAGGGCTATTTCTCAAACAATCCTGTTTTTTATTGAAAGTAATCAATAAACTGGATCACTGCTAATTGTAGGCAATTACTATGACGTATTGGAAGGCATTGTTATTCAAGACCTGTAACTGTCAAAAATCACTGCTGCTCCTAGTCTACTGCTGGGTTAAAAGCACACTTTCAAAAACAATATTTTAATTTAATAATTTGATTTTACACCTCTAAACAGCCTAAAAAACAAAAACAGAAAAACTAAAAGTTGTGACAAGTCCATCAAAATTGGAAGTTGACGAAGCATTAAGGTTAATTCATTTCTCACTAACATTTTTCCTGCATTGTGGATTTCAATTCACACTACGATTAAGTCAAAGTTGAGAGTTCTGTCTTCTATATACCCTAATAGCTAAAATGGCTTCTCCATAACAATCACAAAAGGGTTAATGATAATATTTCCAGTAACAAATGAACGATGATATATCATATGACTTACTTTAGGTTCTCCTTGTGCAACTAATCTTGTTCGCATGACATCAAATGGTAAGCTGCCAGTTGTTGCAATACATCCAGCAAGTGCTCCACAAGTAAAATTTACTATAGGTTTTACATCAGTGAGAATTCTGTTTGGTAGATGATCTGATGCTTGTTGTGTTAAGACTTCAAATGCAAAGAACTAAAAATATACTTACTTATATATATATGACATTGTATAATTATTACACAATACAAAAATTTAACTTGTATCACAAATGCAAAGACACATATATAAAACACGCATTTATAAAAAAAATGGGAAGGGGGCATCTCTAGAAAATTTAATCTTGGAAATTAACACATTCACCATGAGACACTATATTGATCATCCTCAATTTTTTGCTTTACATTTCATGCAGACAATTTAAAACATGCTTTCAATAAAATGAAGAATGACATAACATATTGTTACGAATTTAATATTTAAAAAGCTAATGTTAGTTCAGTTATAAATTAAATGGTTTTATTTCTTGTGCAGTGCAGCGCGTGATGAATATTAAAAGAAAGCTAAACGAGAAAAATTGAAAATAAAGGAACGCATGCATTAAATAAATAAATATCTCTTTTTGATTTCGAGAAAGTACTAGAAAATTCTAGCGCGTGATTTTAAAATCTTATAAAAGGAGGAAAACATCTCAGTTTGTAGTAGTTGCTTAGTTTGTTGTTGTTTAGAAAACTGCTCTTGTTGATTGTAGCAAATTCGCAGATTAGCTTTCTTTAGCTGTTTTGAATTACGTTCTATTGGACATTTGAGTAGTTAAAAGATAACTACTGTGAGATATTGTTACACTGCATGATAATTTGAGAAAATTTAAGCATTTTTCTTGTGATAATAATAAATTTTTGTTAATTTTTCATCGGACTTGTGCATTCATTTCATAACGAACCCGTACACAAGTAACAATATCAAGTGCCTGTGCTTAGTTTAAACATGGCAGGAAACATTTTATTGCATAAAACTACACTGCAGCTTACATTTTGATAAGAGGCTTCAGCATAAATGCCGTACCAAGTTTGAATTTAGATATCGATGTGCAAAAGTGAGTATCCTACTGTACAACATAAAAAACATTCTTTCCAATCTGTATTTGTCTTTAGTGTCAAAGTGGTCTTTCTTAAATTACTTACAGCTGCAATTTAACAGCATTGCACCAATAAGAAGCATGAATATAAGCTATCAAAACCTGTATTACCAACCCAAATGAAACAAAATTCATAATCAACTAGCAAACTTTTCCAGGGCAAGCTGCTATACTCATTCAAAATGAACTCCCAGGATGTAGTGAGCAAGATGCCCAGAAAACATTAATTTGAAAATTAATCAGAAACTTACACTAAGTGGAGTTTTTATCCCATGAAGGTATTATAATTTTTTTTTCACCAACAGTACTGAAATAGTTTTTATAAAATTTTCTACATCGAGAAATTTCTAATTGGAAGTTTACAGGAATTGGAAGCACTTCTTAAGAAGTTTTATAACTGAAGATAGACTGGTGTCCAATTAAAATCACAAATACAAATAATGCAATCTTGAAGATAATTAGCTTATTGTAATGAAATTTTACATATAGATGCCCAATACTAATAAATAACAACAATAACATTAAAAAATAATCAGGAGGTAAATATTTTCACCCTGATTCAAAGTCCGAAATCCGGAAGTCCATTATCCAGAATGATCTAAAATTCAGATCTCAAAACCACCAACAATGTTTTCTCATAGGCTCTATGCATGAGCATTTGATTTCCTCCTCCGCGCATAATAAAACATCTGGAAAGTCCCAATTCTTAATTTCATTTCCACACTAAATAAAATACCTTGTTATTGAAGAAACAATCATATTATCATAAATTGATATGATCAGTAATTTGGCTCTGTTGCTGCATATCTGCTTGGCACACATCGCAAACCGAAATATTCCGTATAGACACATCGTTGATCTTATGGCAACCTGGCGAATCATTATTTATTATACTTTCCTTCATCACCGCATGGTTATTAAAACATGACAACTTGAGTAATGACTCATGTAGTGAAGCCTAAACAATTTTTTTTTTATATTAGTAATTGAATAATAAAGGAGTAGTGTAACCATTTATGTTGACATTACGCTTGGCGATGATTACAAATTCAAGTTAAATACGCTAAAAAGTGTTGACGAGGAAAAATTTTCCAAAAATTTCTTTCCCATATGCTAAAAATAGATTTTGATGATGATAATCATAGATTATATTTAGGGCTATTTGAATTAATAACTGACTTGTTATTCACGTACACCCAGCGCCAGGCTCGTATGGCCACACGGAGTCGCAGAATTTAAGACTCGGACAGCATCAAGCGGTAAGATATTTAGTGCCGACCCTCAATAAGTTTAAATATATGTGAGAATTTATTTATTCAGAACTCTGATAAGCCTTAAGCATGTGCAAGAAATAGACATAAGTATAATAAATAACTAAACTAATACAATTCAGGCTTAATGTCTCAGTGCAAGAAATAATGTCTGAGTGCGATAGAAGCAAGATAAAATTTAACAGAACAATTTGTCGTTAGTCGCTAAGTTCATGATGCATAGCAAAATATGTATACTGAAGGATAGCTAAATTTAATGATGATAGCCACCAATTTTAAAGGTTTTTCAGATATCGCAAAAACAAAGGTGAAATTTTTCAATTAACGGATTTTGTACAGAAATATGGAGAAGTGGTAATAAATGAAGATGATATAAAAGAAGTTTTTCATTGTGATGACAATGCTTCTCAATAATCAATCAGTTAATTAATGAAGGGCGAAATCTGTTGTATGGTCCTAGGTCCAGAAAATACCGCTACCGATAGTGAAGAAAGTGACAGAGACGTTACCGAAAATGAAAAAATTTAGATTGACAAGTTAGTCAGAATTCTCGAAGCAGAAGTTACAGGACTTCAACAATGTAACTAAACAAGACAGAATTAAAGAGAAAGTATTAGCACAAAAAATGAAGCAACATAAACAACTTACATTGAAAGAAATGTTTAATAAGGTAAACAAATAAATATCAAGCATTGTTTTTGTAAATTTTGAGACCCTTTAGATCATAAATACTTCATTATTTCATAAATCATGATTTCATATTTTTAATTTTATAATTTCTATATGCGATCTCACTAGATTTAAACTGATGAACTAATATCTGGAAAAATCTCAAATCCGGAATTGTTGAAGTCCCGATGAGTCTGGATTTCGGACTTTGTACTGTACTTATAACCACTAAACAAGTTCTGCTTGAAATAGATAAATTTCAATCTACCAAGAGCTTTTTACTTCAATCCATTCATTTATATTGAATCTTACTAAATTTGCTTAGTGGCTATAAGTGATTCAAGACACTTATAACCACTAAGCAATTTTTGCTTGAAATAGATCCATTTCAATCTACCAAGAGCTTTTTATTTCAATCTATCCTTTTAATTGAAATAAGCCAAACCTGTGATTTTGCATAAATGAGGCACAATTTTACAGAAAAATTTCCTAAATATGGAAACTGGTCAATTTCATATTTCTTAAGAAACACTCTTTTAAAAACCACTAGATGCTTATATTACACTTATCATTCCCCACATTATGTGTGACTCTTAAGTACTTAAAACATTAGTAACACAGATAGCTATTTTTGAATTATTCCAAAAAATAAGTTTGTAAATTTTAGACATTAGGTCCAGATAACAAGCAAATACTGTAGCCAGCTTTTTAGAATATCCTATGCAACAAATACAAAACAAGGAGAATTTATTGAATACAAACAGCAAAAATAAAGTTTTACTTGCAGGGCACCATATGAGGTGGATAAGAGCTGAGCAGGGACTATCCCTTTCCAGAGAGCCTGTGCTCCCTCTTCCTTCAGTATGCAGTGAAATGCATGAAGCATGCCCTTGTATTTGGAACGTTTGCAGTGGCTACCTATTGGTTCAATTTGAAGCTGTAAAATAATTATTCAAATTATGTCATTTTTGATAAAAAGAACAAAATTAATTATGCTTCTTACAAATTACATTACACATAATGAGATAAACAATGGATAAGCTGACATGAAGCAAAATGGATAAAATCACTTAGTTTAAATAGATAAGATAACTGGAGAATTTTTCTTTGGTCTAATGTTTTACTTTATGCTCACTGGCCCACTTAAGTACCATTAGAGTATAAGTACAAAACACTTAATGGACTGGGATATTTTATTTGATTCTAATGAAATACACTAGAGCTATCTGCCTATAAGGAGGAATGTCTTTATAAAGAACTTTCTAAGAAAAACATCTCCTTGTTGCATAAAAAAATGCATTAAATTTTGTAAAAATGATTTATTTTAATAGATAAAGTCATTGGAGAATTTTCCATGGGTTTAATTTTTTTACTGGATGTTTACTGGCACACTTAAGTACCATTAGAAAACACAGGACATTGAATGAACTGGGTTACTTGATTATAATTAAATACACTAGAGCTATTTACCTACTAGGAAGGATGCCTTTTTAGGGAATATTCCAAGAACAACAATATCTCCTTTTTCATTAAAAGTAAAAAATCGTGAAAATTTTGTGTATCAATATCTCCTTCAATCCTACGCTAAAAGTAAAACCATGGTAAACTACCATCATTTTAAGTTTTTGCTGCATAACTATTGACTAATTTGATGCCCATGAAATGAGTATTCAAGAAGACTTTTGCTGACATAGACAAGAGATTTTTACTACCAAAACTAGCATCTGTCTAACCATTTGAATAGCTACATTCTCAACATATTTACAAGATATGCATGATTCTGATCTGCTGTTTCTGAGGCCTATCAGTGGTTTGCAACTTATGACTTCACACAAGCCATTAAATCATGATTTTAATCACGGTAATTTTTTTAAATAATGGGAAAAGTGTTAAAATCAAAGATAATCTGCAATTCTTTTAAATTTTAAAACTGGAAGCTTTTTTAGAAGTAGTAAAATTATTTAAATTTTTTTATCATTTAAAATTATTTAAAATTTTTATTTAATTTTTTTTTGTAGTAAAATTATTTAAAATGATATGTAAAAACAACACCTTCTTAAAAATCTAAACTAGAATATAAAATAAATATTTGCTTATGCTACAAATGAGGAATTCCCAACCCTTTCCTTAACACTTAAAAGAGTGGTTTTCTTTATCAACCCTCTTGCACTTTTCTCTGTAATATACAGTATACAACATAATCATAATACAAATGACAGCACATACAAAACTTAAAGATAACAATTAGGCTAAGGATATGAAAAAAAAGTTTTGAAAAAAAAAATGGTTTATTAGATTTATGTGCTTTATTATTAATAATTTTAATTTTACAGATACAAATAAGTTTTCAGAAAAAGGAATCATAGATTCCAACTGCTGTTTAACCACACTTTTTTTAACAAGTTTCAATGGTCAGAGTAGATGAAAGAACAAGTAGATTTTTGTTGTGGTTGACAAGCTTTCCATTCTTCCCCCCCCCCTTGTATTTTCTTGTATTCCGTGCTTTACTTTTTTGTATTGCATTTATATGCATTAAAACATTTTTATATATAAAAATACTAATTAAAAAATATATTAAATCATTTTTGTGTATTTTATTTCCTTATATTTATTTTATGTGATTTCGTCTTTACAACATGATATAGCGATTAATATTAATTATAAGTTTTATGAATACTGTTTTTTGTATTCCATAGGATTTTGATATACCAATCAACTGCCTTTGCGTATTCAGCTATCAATTCCCAAAAGGGTCGACATCATTGAGAATCCCTGTTATAGATACATCATTTCAAAGTACAGAAATTTCCTAAAATTAATGGTGATGCCACCTCCATCTATAGCAACTTAAATCATTTATAATGGTAAATTTACAACAGATTTTACACCAAATGTAGTATCTGGTTTACATCGCATGAACAATAGCATTGTTGCAAACAAGTGGAAAGAATGGACATCTATTAGTAATCTTCCGGCCAAGATTTTCTGTTAGTTTTCTGTTGAAGTGTAAATAATCATTCTTCGCTGAATTTGATTCTCTGATTTGTTTTGAGTGAAAATAAATCAAAGAAATTCAATACTTGGCATTGTACACAGCCTTGGCACATTAAGCATTATATATCTATTTATTGTATATAAAACAGTTATCCTTTTCATGAAGCTTTATGTATTGCTAGGGTTTCCACAATATGGTTAGATTTTGTGTGGCAGCCCATTAGTAGAAAAGAACCAAATATACCATCTGATGTATGTTGGAGCTTGATGCAATTGTCTTAAAAGCTATAAAAAGAACTGGCCAGATTTCTTGCAATTTGCAAAAAAGACAGAATTCTACCAATCATAATTACTCACATTGTATTAGGAAACAACTAAGGAAAGAAAAGATCTAGGAGTTGAGAAAATTGAAGGAAAAATAGATGATACTAAATTAAACTAACAACATAGAAATTATACTAATAGCATAATAATAAGTTAAACTAATAGCATAGAATTTTGAAGTTAAACTAATAGCATAGAAGACTACCATAAAGTTCAAAATAAATTAATTAAAGAAAATATTCCTTTCCACACTTTCAAGTTAAATGCAGAGAAATTCCTCCACATTGTTATTAAAGGACTTTCCTCCAACTTTACATCTGAGGAAATAAAAGAATAATTAACTCAACTGGATATTTCAGTAATCAGATGTAATCAATTACAACGGATGCGCAATGGTATCACTGTATTCTTACCAGCGTAAAATGTAGAAGTTCCAAGCACGGCAGAAGGAAAAACTATTTTTGATGTTAAATATATTTGTGATATATGAGTTGGAATAGCCTTTTTATAAAAGCAGACCTGGGCCAGTGTAGTGCTTTAATTGCCAGCATTATGAGCACACACAGCGAGAATGTTGAAATACTCCCTGTGATGTTAGATGTTTGGAAACACACAAATCTTATGAATACCCACTCAAAAATAATAAAGAAGTTCAAGAACAGTGTATGCTTTGAAATGGATTACATGTTTTATGTGATAAAAATTGTCCCAAGCATCTTGGAAACACCATGAAAGAAGTAACACCAAAAACTGCAAACTCTATTAAGAATTACAATTCAGGGAAAAAAGATAGTCAATCTAATAGTTCGACTAACAATAACCACTTCTAAATTAATACCAACAACAGAACTTGTTTGACTTCTAAATTAATACCAACAACAAATCACAAACTTTTAACAGTAATAAATCTTATGCAACAGTAGCTAAAAAGTAATACTAACATTATATAGAAAAATGAAAATACCAATGAAAATAGATACTCTGAATATAATTAGGATGACTTTACAGAATTTATTACAAATGTTTATCAATTATACCTCAATATTAAGCCAACGGACAACAAACTTAATCCGTGAACTATTACTTATTACTGCACTGGCCGCAGTAAAGTTATTCGCTAGCCGTGAACTAAAATAAATTCACATGCATATTTATTGTACTGCTCTGATTATTATCAGTACTTTACACAATATTGATTTCTAAATAACCTATATCTAGTTATTTTGGATTAGAATGCTTATCTTCACAGTTTTTAGTAAGCTGTTCCTTGGATTTGATAAGTTATTGTACATAGTTACTGAACATATTATATGCTCTAATTTACTCAAGTATTTTTATTCATTTATTTTATTTTCATTTACTGTACTTAGCTTACTATTACAAGATTATGCCATATGAAATATTATGCTTTTGTTTGATGACATATTCTGACGATAGATGGCAGCACCTCCTGGATCCATATCTTGCCTCTGAGTTTTCAGCATTTGCAGTGCATATGTTTTTCCACTTAGCTGAATTCTCATGAATTCACTACCTATGCTACACAATTTAATATATTAAATATGAAAGTAAAGGCCTTAGGGTCGTAGACTTTCGATTAAAGTAATGATCTCCGATCTTGCAACTTGTGAAACAGAATCAAGATGTAATAGACAAAAATATTCAGTAAACAGTTCCTAACATGGTAGCTAAATAAAATGTCGATCCCTCACTTTATCGGAAGTTAGTTTTAGTCACTCTGGATAAAATCCAAAATGCTTACTGCAGTAACGCTGAAATTGTTAAAGTCTGAAATAATCACAAAATAGTTTAAATCATTTTTAAAAAGCATGATATGAATATCTACAGTCATCAGCACAGTTTTAGTACATATTTTATAACCAAAATATAAAGCTTTAGTAGCAAGTGAAAACAAGCATTGGAATCAGTTAAAGAAAAGTATGCAGAAATTGCTTTGTTCAGCATTACATTAAGATTTTTAATTCATGCTCCACTTTTTTTGTGAATAAAGTAAGAGTCAGTTACCACACCTGAATGGTTGAAATAAATAACTCTTGAGAAAAGATGTATGGAGGAAGGGGGGAACTGACTATCATTGAAATGTTAAGCACAGCAAGAGCTTCATCAATAAAATTTTCGACTTTTGGAGTCAAGCCCAACAAATTGAAAAATCAGTTTGTAGCTGGAAAGGCAGTAAAATCTTTTACACTGTTTAAAGTACTAAATAAAATGATAATAATGCACAAATCCAGATATGAATACTATTCATATGGTTATTTTTACTTCAATTGTATATTTGTATTTAAATAAAAAAAAATCTAATTACAAGAGCTTTTTCTTTTGTTTTACTGTTTATGTGTATATTTTTACACAATTATATTTAAATTATTACAGTGATTTTGTAACTTACTAATACCAAAAAGCTGCCAAGATATTTTAATGTTTTTATGTTACTAATTTATAAAATTATGTGCAAATTATATTACCACAAATTATTATTTATTATATTAATAGTACAAACGTCGTTAATCCGGACTCGTCGGGACTTTGGCGATTCCGGATTATCGATTTTTTCGGATTATAGATCATCAGTTTAAATCTCGTAAGATGGCAGGCAGAAATTCTAAAATTAAAAATATGAAACCGTAATTTATGAAATAAAGAACAATTATGATCTAAAGGGTATCAAAATTTACAAAAAAAAAAAAAAAAAAAAGCTTATATTTATTTGTTTACTTTATTAAACATTTCTTTCAATGTAAGTTGTTTAAGTTGCTTTATTTTATGTGATAATACTTTCTCTTTAATTCTATAAACAGACATAATTTCTTGTTCAGTTACAAAGTTCCTCTGTTCAAGTCCCGTAATTGCTGTGCCGAGAATACCGACTAACTTGTCGAATTTTTTTCGTTTCAATCGAAATTTTTTTCGTTTTCACTAACCTCTCTGTCACCTTCTTCATGTCTTTATCCATTTCTTGCAGCAATTCCACTTTTTGTTTGATGGATATCGAAACATACTTTCGTTTTGTAGATCCTTTGGAAGCTCCAGCATCGGAAATTCTATTTGACATAATCGAAAGTTCAAGTTTACTTTTATAAAATTGCTCTTACAGTCTGCAAAAAATAATAAGTCGCATCCAATTCGAAGATTAAGGAACAACGCAATCATCAACATTAACTGAAATAGATAATTAGAGAATTTTAGCTTATACCGTCCGTTATACATTAAACGCGCAAGCGAAAACATATTCTGCGCTTGCGCACACGCATATGCGCAGTCGTAAAGGTCTTACGCGCACGCGTAAACGCCTATGCACATGTGTCAACGCGGCGCATGCGCAGAAAGTTTTTAGCTTTGAGGTCCGGATTACAGATCATTCAGGATTATGGATGTCCGAATTAATGACTTTTGACTGTATTTTACCTGCACTGAAAAGTCCAAAAAAGTATATTAATGAGACAAAGCAATACATTGTTAAAAAATAGTTATGTAGCAACTCCAAACAACATTGCCAAAATATTTATAAGGTTGCCAAAGTACTTTGTTGACAACCTAGGTAAGTGGCATAGCACATGGCTGTTTCATCTGGACACAATGCCAACATTGCATGGATGTCAAATTTGAGCAATTTTATCATGTTTTTTAAGCAAAAATAGATTGCTAAGTATATGGGGAGTACAGCAGTGTGAAAAAAAAACTAAGTGTTTTACAACCAATGTTTCTTGCTTTTTTAATTTTATTGGTTGATTACTCTTGTGTAGAATTCTTAATGTGCACCACTTTGTAAATGGCTGTTTCCTGTTGAACATCAGTTTGATAAAAAAATACCCATTTTGTTTGTGGATACTCTCCAACCAATAAGTTCATAACTTTTCAATGGAAGGATGAAAAAAATGCTTGTTCTGAAAATTTTGAAATATCACAAAAATATCAAAATGCACACATCTTTCCAAAAAGATAAAATAATCAATTGAGAATCCATACATGCCTGAAATCTTATTTTAATGACATCTAAAGGCTGAAATAAAGTACGTGTCACAAAACCGCTAACTGCTCCGGCAATGATATAATCCAACTTATGAAATTTTTGCACAGCAGATTCTCTTTCAAAACCCACCATGATGATAACACTGAAAAATATTTAAAAAATTCAGATTAAAAACCATTTATACATGAAACATAAGAAAGTTTACAAGACAGTGAAACACATAACACATTATTAAAACATATTACAGAGCAAATACAAAGGAAGCACAGTAATTTATTAAAAATTAAATTATGGCAAAATTTAGCCTTGAACTAGTTTTAAAGAAAAATAAGGTACTTTTCCGTTTCGCCGGCGCGAATTTCGACAAACAGACTTCATTGGCGACAACATACAGTATATACAGAAAATATGTTAACAAATGTTAGTTCTAAGAATTTTTTATTTTGAAGGCATAAACATTTTAATATCATTTAAAATTTTGAAAAAAGCCAATAAATAAAGACAATAAATTTGTAAAAAGACATTAATTTAAGAACGTGGTTCAACATCCTGATTCACCGGTTCCTATCACGTAACCCGTAGCGATCTCATCTCACGTAAACTACACTACAAAAATCTAATCCTCTCAGTAATTATCTACATTAATTTCAAGTTAAATCTTAATTTGGAATAAAAGTTTAAATGCAAGAATTATTTCAATTTGTACAAATAGCTTATTCAGAAATTATGTAAAACCGCAGTGCTTTATTTTGCTAGTGCATTCTCATTAGAACTGATGAATTTAACCCTTGACTTTTCTATATTTTCGCCTTCGGGTGAGCAGTGTGGTTGCATTCTAATTGACTTAATTACCACGAATGGCCTTAGGGCATAAAATTGAACTATCTTCTAAAAATTGTATGTAATTGTATGCCAGTATTGAAAGAAACAATCAATATGATAAGAAATGGGTGCAATTTGTTTTGAAAATGAGACGTAAAAGGTTACCAGCGAGGATATTCTGTTTGGTATCAGTTGTGCCATTACCACGAATGGCCTTAGGGCATAAAATTGAACTATCTTCTAAAAATTGTATGTAATTGTATGCCAGTATTGAAAGAAACAATCAATATGATAAGAAATGGGTGCAATTTGTTTTGAAAATGAGACGTAAAAGGTTACCAGCGAGGATATTCTGTTTGGTATCAGTTGTGCCATTATTGGCGACTTTATCACCTGCACTGGCGAAACAGAAAAGTACCAAAAATAATTTAAGGGAGACAGTTCTTGTGTCTCTTTCATACAAAAAGAAATAAAGCTTTATATTTCTTTTTAAAATCACTGATTTAAGACTTAATTTTGCTATAATTGAAGCACACAGAATTCGGCATGAAAGAAACCCTAGTGGGGCTGTATTGACTTTACTTCCAGCAGTTAATTTTACTTTTTTAATATAGCAGACTAAGCAACTTGGATTGACAGTTAATAAAATTTCTTCTTCTTTTTTTTTGGTAAAATCTGCGATTGGGTTATTGCAACCATATACATTTAAACTGACTTTTCTTTGCATGGTTTAAATACATTTTGCTTTCTCTTTTTAAGAAATTGGTATCTCTGATAATGACAGTAATCTAAAATAAGGGTAGTCTGTATTTAGAGTACCCCTTGGATTATCGCCAAGTTGTTGTTTCATTTATGGTAAGCTAAGTATTTTACGTTGAATCTTATGGAAACCCTATTATGACGGGATTGGTTGAAATGCATGACTGCGGTGATTTTGACTATTGGGATAATATTTCTCGGGCCTTATTTATGCGTTGGATGTTGGTTAGGAAGTACATTGCTTATTTTGTATTATTAGCTGGTAGTAAGATTAAGATGAAGTTTCTGCATGCTTTGGACCGAATGGGAAAGAAAACATTGATTGACTGGTGTGCAAATGAAAATTTAAATGGCTTCATTCCTCTCTCAGTGAATTGTGCAGTGAGATTTAAGGATTTGAAAACTGGAATTCATATCAACACTATGGAAGGTATGTAGGGTGTAATAAAAAGAGATTTTCGAAAGAAATGCCACCAACAGTCCGGCAGTATGGAGGATATTTTTCAGTTCTACTTTTATGAATTTATGTGGTGATGGCAGTATACAAATTCTAGTTCAGATAATTATAGACAGTTTTTGGATGCTGTTAAGAAATTCTGTGAGCAACACACCGAAGACTCAGAAATTTCTAAATAAGGTAAGTCGATATTTCCTTTTTGTAATGCACAGATTAGATAATACATATTTCCATTTGTATGTTATTTCCTTGTTTTATTTTGATTTAAAGTACAGTTTACAAGATTATAATTTTTTTATGTTTTGGACGCTATTTCACTTAGGAGGGCATCACAAGTAAACAGAATGCCGCCAAAAAAAATTGCCAATTTTTCCCAAGGGGTACCCTAAAATAGTTACACTATTTAGACATATCAAGCTTTTGTGGAGGATAAACTATTGTGCAATATCCTTCCGTACATCATGGTATGAATTAAGTTTTATAATAACCAGAAGTTGTGGTGCTGAAATGCATTATTTTTTTATTTATTAAAAGGATATTTACATTAGCCTTCATAGAAGACTTCTTAGAGGAAAGTAATTCTATCCACCTTACACTTAAGGGGGGTGGGGGACATGTGAATTCTCTCAGTCTACTACTTCCATAACTCTCGGATTTATGATCTTTAATAATAAGAAGTTATAATAATTTAATTTCATGAATATATTTAATATTAAATGCAACAAATGCCTCTGTTAAAAGTTATCATTCAGTTTTTAATTCAAGCAAATCAAAAACTTTATATACATTACAGCAAAAATGATTTAGTTCTTTGATTTCTTTTACATTAATATCATATAGAAAGCATCTGATAACTACCTTAGGTAACTGCATATCAAATTTGTGTTAGGAATTAAAACTCTAATGAGATTTTGCACTTCAATAGAGCATTAATTTAATATTACACTTAACAGACATCTGGGATTGACCTGTTCATTTCTTAATCCCTACGGCCAGTCTTGCCATAAGTAGGAGAAAAAGTGAAGGATTTTTATAGTAGTCATTACAAATGTTGAAGAAGATATAAAAGAAATTTTGTTCAGACATTTAAAGAAACTTGAGATAAAATCAGAAGACTTTTGAGATTTAAAGAATACAATTTCATTGATACATCTGTGTATCATCAGGTAAAATCCTAGTATACGGTGCAGCCTTGGCGCGACTTTGAAAATTATCGCCAACACCAAAAATGATCCAAAGAACGTCTATATATATATTATACACACATAGTATATGCATACTATATACTATGTTTAACTGTATATTTTCTTTGAATGACTTGTTAACTACTCATTGTATATGTCCCGTTTTTACTGCTCATCATAAAGTCGCCAAATCCTGTGTGCACCGGATACTAGGATTAAACCCATCATCATCATTTTCATAACAAACCACAGTGCACTTTTTAACATTTTGAGTATTTTTGTCAATCAAGTTCTTTATTTTTATTCCTGTTTTGCAGCTCTTCATTTTTCGTATTAACTTTAAAATCATAATAGCTTTGAAAACTAAAATTCATTTCTTTACAAAACGTTCTGAATTAGCTCCCCTAAATAATGAAAAACCTATCTAGGAACCCATACGGCGGTAATATATTTGCCTTGCAACTTGTTTTTTTAATTTCCTTTTTTGCGGAATACCCGTAAAAGTAAGTTGCCTTCTGGCTTAATAAATAATTAAATAATATCCTGCATGCGAATTATGAATGCACGGGCTGGCTCACTGGTGGTCTTCTGCTTCAATAAGGCCATCCAGTATTCAAAGAGACAGAGATCGGTGAATGACATATTTCAGGTCACTTCATTCTGGTCTTAGAACACTTTAAGATTATTCAACAAAAAGCTCTGCTAGAAGTAATTACAGAGTTACGAACTGAAGATTAAATCATTCAAATAACTGCTGCTGTATATATTGATCACATGTCATTAGTATCAAAATAGCTACTGCGTTAACGATAAACTAAAATCAATTTAAAAATCATAACATAATGATCGGAAAATACGAACGATCGACTGTCTTACAAATATAGACAGAATCACCATAACAATCTCAGCACACATTGACATTTAGAGAATTCTTTAAAGCCTTAATGAAAATTGGAAACAACACACCATTTCCGTCCTTGCTGAACTTGCAGAAATTCAATTTGAACCACATACACAATTATATATGTATTATACGATTCGAAATAGATGATATTCAATAAAAGTACCAAAGTAATTCATCTAAGGATTATTCAAGGGATGAAATTAAAATACCAACCACCCCTAAATGTAATTTTTAAATTCGACATCAATCTTTCATCACTTTAAATATCGTAAACAAATCTTCACGGTCACGGTGTTTTTAGTATGACCTTCACAATATGTGCAAGTTCCAGCAGTCGCTGTCAGCCGCAGTTCACAATATGCCTCTTAAAACAGCCTTTATATCTCTCTCACTTTTTTAGTTTTCAAATTTATCCAATGAATAACGTTATTAATAAACGGCAGTAATTAGTAATATCATTATTTTTAGTCCAAAGGGACCCTGAAACGACTATTGTTTTCGTTTTGCGTTGAAAATTTTAAAAGGCTGTATCACTTTTCAAATCGTTGCCATCAAATAGTATCCCCCTGTATTATATATTTGAAGAAATTTACTAATGAAGAATCTGCTTAAATGTATGTATGTTTCTCACATTGTGATAACGGTACCTAGAGCTATCCAATTTTGAATAATGTAATCCTACTGCGAATATGGGCATCTGAAAGCCAAGATTTGAAATTCGGAATTTGTTTTCTTATCGCTTTCATATTTTGTAAAACTTTAGCGAATTTTTTGAATAACAAACTCAACGATTTAAATGCGAGCAGTGGCAACACTCAACGGGGGCAGGGAGAAACTTTTTTATATCCAGTGCACGGAACTATGCATCAGAAATCCTAAAGATATGCTCATTTTAAAATTATTTTGCGTTATTGCTGTTTTGGGGTCTTATTAACTGCTAGACACCCATTTAGAAAATAAACTGTTTTAATAAATCAAAATATACAAATAGCGTTAGGATAACATAAATCTCAGCCCTCCTCAAATGGAAGGGAAAAATGACAATGAATACAGTGTGTACACGGACTCGTAAAAACAGAAGGCAAAAGTTCTCTTTTTCAGTCACGCAAAGATGAGATTCTTATCGCGTATGCACGAGAAGGAGAACTCGAGGCGCTGAAGAAATGTGTGTGTGTGTGTGGGGGGGGGAGGTAGTCCTCCAATCTCGAACTGAATTTTATGGTTTAAGTGCAAAGAACATGATATTTAATAAACAAAGGCAACGCACAAAACATTAAAAAAAAAAAAAAAAACTCCCTTTGGACGTAATTTAAAATCTGAAACCTTTCAGAATTTTTCCTTTTTTTTTTTACATTTTCTGCCACTACTTCTTTCATAAGTCATCCTCTGTGTAGAATATTTCTACAAAATATGCACTTTAGAATAGATTTTATTAGTTTTCGTCAGTGGTGCACTGCGAGCTTTTGTCTTTTTGAATATTCTGCTAAGGCTCGAGCAAAATATTCATAATTACACGTTTTTGTCGATTTTAGTCAAAACGAATTAAGAAACAAATTTGCTTAAAATGAAGAATGAATTTTTATTCGAATTCGTCGAATAAAATTATACACTCACGCACACAAAAAATGCCATTAAAAGTCTCTAAAATTACTTTTCGTTGAAGAGTGACTTCGTATTTCATGGAGTTCGTAATAATTATTCCTTTCAAATGCAATTTAGCATAGAACAATCACTGATCAAATGGAAGGGAAAAATGACAATGGGAACTTTAAAATCAGGCAAAAATCGAACATCATTTGCATAGAGTTTGAATAAATTTTATCGATTTCAAGGGCGATCAAATACAAGTCTCTCTTCTTTGGGAAAGAGAACTTTTGTTGAAGTAGAGGAATTTATGTCTGATCGCATACAAAATCTATAAAGCTGTATTCAAAATCTACGCCAATTAGAATTTGTTTGTTTGCTTAGTTTGGCACATTATAAAATGTTTTTGATAACCTAACAGCCAGAAAAAAAGAGATTCTGAGTAATAATTATTCCTTTCAAATGCAATTTAGTATAGATGTTAAGAAATTAGAAGATGCATCAAAGTTGGACCGCGTTCTTGTAGATCTTCACTTCATGTAACGCGCCGATCAAGTGCTTTAACGATAATCATTCTGCAGATAAGTATTGTTACTTATGTAACGGTTCGTAATGGATTAAATACACGCAGAATTGATAATAGCTTGAGAAAATTTATTTTCCCAGAATAATCACTTTACAGTTCTGAAACATTTACAGTTTCAGAACTGTAAAGTGATAAGTGTAATTTAAAGTAGTCATACAGCTCTTCTCAGTCTGGCACAGCACAACCAGTAGTTACCACTTGAAACTATTAAAAACGTTAAACACCATGCAGTACAAAGCACATCCAAAGAGCGAAACTCCCATAGAGATCTCTCAGTACCCCGAACTCAATTCTGAGCTAAAACCTGAAAAGTGATGCACTATTTGGTCTCATACAGACTTCCCTCGTTCCGCCAAGAAAATTGCAGTATCATCGATTTCTCACAATTAATTCTTAAATTAACTAGTTTTAAGTTATTCTTTCTGCCTATAGGTGGCGCTTTTAGTTCATATGTCCATCTCCGATTTAGGTGATCATTCGCTTCGCCTAAAAAAGGCAATGCGCTCAGTGCGCTTTATTTCTTAACTAGCAACCCGCTCCGGCTTCGCACGGGTATAAAATATATAGCCTATGTCACTCACTGAAAAACGTATAAGACACGTATTCTATTAAGTTCTACGTATAACGTCACAACAAAAGATACGTATTCTATTAAGTTCTTTTTCTGAACTTACATACCTCACCTTAAATTACGATTTTTGAAAATAATTTCCCTAATATTAAATTGATTTAACTCTAAATTTTAACCAAGATCTTAATAGAAAATTCCAATCCATAAATTATGGTTTTACTTAATCTAATCTTATCTAACCTTATGTACTTATAATTACTATAAAGTGCGATTTAAAAATTAACCTTAGAATAAAAAAAAAAAAAAAAAAAAAAAAAAAAAAAAAAAAAAATTCCAGAAAGTATTAAGCATGATTTAAATAATAAATGAAGGCGTTATCTTTGTTGTTGGGAAGCTAAGTTTCTCTAGATTGGCAACAAATCCGCTATCCTGCTGTTTCAAATGTAAATAAGAGCAATGGCCGCCATCAAAAACATTATTAGTCTTAGCGGCACTTAAACAATTTTAAAATTGTTGATAATTCTAAAAATATTGCATACAGATTTACTAAAGGCATAAAATTCTTCACCGGAAGATAAAAACAACATAATTCAATCATTTTTAAAGCAAAAAATGTACAATTTACAAACATATAAGAGTAAAGAAACTGAGATCACTGAGCCGGGTAACAGAGTGGATATATTTATAAATATATTTACATACGTTTGGCGCGGCCGATTGAAACCAAAATACGAGGTGCACATCTACATGTTATAGTATCTTATATACAAAATTTTCAAACGTTCTGGCTACTCGTTTTTGAGTTATGCGAGACACGTACGTACATACGTTCGTACAGACCGCCACGAGAAATCTCTTCAGAATTCATTTTAAAGGAGTTTTTTTAGTTTTTTTGGAGGAAAAACTTAAATTGCATTCGAAAGCGTTCAAAGTGGATATTTCGTTGAAATATGCTGCCTGAAGCTTTTTCGCGATTGCAGTACTTCCTTTTTACTTCGTACATGAGGCATATGTTAGAAAAAAGGAAACACAGAAGTCTTCTCTTGCCCAACATTGTTGGTTCCGGAAAATCACGCTTTCAATTTTTCTGCTGCCAAAATTTCTTCAAAAACCATCTTCCATTGGAGAACTGTATTTTCTGGTGGCATTTCACATTCAAAAAAAATCTTTCTGTTCTAGTTAACGATTCCTGAATTCCAATCCATCTATTGCCTTCGGCATTTAAAGTAAATTATATTTTTGTTCTGGTTTCATCAAGCAGATGGCGCCACTAGCTTATTTTCCTTGTCCAGGCTTTCTTATCTTTTCTGATCATTATATCCTATCGGGTGTACTCCAACTGCGCTAATAAAAATCCCCCCCGGGTCGAGCTATAGTCCAACTGCGCCAATCAAAATTTCTTCCCCCTGCTGCCTAAACTTTTCGAAGCCAATTGTAGCCTTGAGGAAATTTAAAAAAAAAAAAAAAAAAAAAAAAAATAATATGAAATGTTTCAGATTTTAAATTACGTCCAAAGGGGCGTTTTTTAACATTTTGTGTGTTACCTTTCTTTATTAAATATCATGTTCCTCGCACTTAAACCATAAGATCCAGTGCAACAGCATATCGCAAAATAGTTTTAAAAAACGAGCATATCTTTAGAATTTCCGATACAGAGACTCACGCGCTGGAGATAAAAATGTTTTTTTTCTGCACAACGTTGCCATTGCTCGCTTTGAAATCCTTGAGTTTGTTAATCAAAAATTCGTCAAAGTTTTAAAAATAAAAATAGGAAATCGATCATAAAACAAATTTCAAATTTCAAATTTGGTCTTCCACATGCTCATATTCGTTGAGGATTACGTTATTCAAAATTCGATGACTCTATGTACCGTTGTTTTATCACAATACGAGAAATATACATACATTTATGCAGATTTTTCATTATTTAATTTCTTCAAATATAATGCAGGACTCTAACATTTTATGGCAACAGTTTGAAAAGTGAACCGACATTTATGAGTCCGACGCAAAATGCCAAAACGAAACTAATAGTCCTTCGGGATTCAAATCCCTTTGGACTAATAAATAGAATTACATATCACAAGAACAAGTAAAAAATATCTAACAAGCAGGCTAATTACTTGAATAACTGTAATAAATGCGAGAGCTAACAAAGAAAATAAAAGGTATTGGTAAAACACATACATTAGCATTACAAACATCTTCATTTATTATAATAATATCATAAATTAAATAATTATAAAGCATTCCATATCAAAAGTGTGTTAAAGTGTGCTAAAAATATTTTTTGTTAATTTTTGTTGTCATGTAAATGTTTGCAGAAATTAAATTTAGTTAAATTTAAAAAAAGCTTAGCATGAAATCTATTATAACAACATTACTATGCATTCGGAACACTGACGTATAAATTGTAAATAAATTTAAATTATTATGCTAAGAAGTTTTTTCTAAAATTTATCTGGA